AAGTGATGTAGGTTACTTCGCGACCAGCAGGCTTCCAGACCTTGCTGCTCCACAGTAACTGAGCCCAGTCACCTGGTGTTGCAAAGACTTCTTGCTCTTGCCCCTTCTCTCCTGTCTCCTGCTCTCTCTCAGTTCCTCTCTCTAGCCTCCTCCTCTGGTCTCTTGGCTCTGCTCTCCTCTTCTCTGTTCTCTCTTCTCTCCTTGCTAGCTCCTCTCCTCTGTTTCTCTCTCTTATATTCTCTTTCCCCTTCTTTCCTTCGCCGCCCCTTCACTCCGGTCTGTAGGTTGTTCCCCAATAAACCCTTTCCCTTGCTCCGGTGTCCGGTGTGCTTTGCGACTGCTAACATTGAGATATAACATTGGTGTCGTGACTCAGATAGCCTCATATTGGTAATCCAGCGTCCCCCAGTGCTCTGGGGTCCTGGATTTTTGCCGGTCGTGAAGCACATCTCCGGAACTCTTTCCAAGCCACCGAACGCTCCGCAACCTCCATCCACACATCGGCTTTCCAAATTTTGAGCTGTCCTCCTATAGGTTCTGATGAAATTTTTCCAGCCACATGTATTGTATTCAGTACTTTGGGATGACTCTGTAACCAGATGAAGCCAATAATATATTAGAGGTACCAACTGTGAGAAAGTTCTTTTTGCCTCTCAATCAGAAAACTGCCCACCCAAGATCATTAGCATCGGTCAATGCTGTGGAGTGAAGACGGCACAAGGTGCTCAGCCCCAGTTGCTGTCCCGCAGGACGGGACAACTGTAATGCTGATTCCTGACGGAAATTACCAGACAGTGTACTGGAGGAGGTGTAGGAGCTCTTTGTGTGGAAAGGCGCCAAGAGATGTCCCCTGGGTTTATAGGAAGGAGGGTAGCAGTTTCGTCTGATGGATATGAAATGAAGGCAACAGTGACCACCTCTCAAGACTTTCATAGATTATCCAGCTCTCTGCTGTGACCCGGGAGGGCAGTGGAGGATGGCCCAAGTGTTTGGGCCCCTGCACCTGCGTGGGAGACCAGGAAGAAGCAGCACCTGGCTCTTGGCTTCGGATCGCACAGCGCCGGCCATAGTGGCCATTTGAGGAGTGAACCAACGGAAGCAAGACCTTTCTCTCTGTCTCTCTCTCTCACTGTCTAACTCTATCAATAATAATAATTAAAAAAGAATAGTTACATAAAAAAAAAGAAGACTTTTCACCACCTCAAGTAAAACACACGTCTTAGAGAGCACTGTCTCTGTTCATGTAAAGCTGTGCTTCTCCACAGAAAATCTTCTCGTAGAAAGCAGAGGATGTTGTAAGTCTTGAATTAGCTAAGATTTTCCCCCCTCCTCCTTCCTCTGCGGCAGGCTGCCCTCCCGTCCACTCTCAAGTTGCTGGAGGCAGCTTCTCTGAAGCACGTTCTCTGGAATGTTCTGTCATTTGAAGGGCAGGCACTTGTCCCTCAGGCTACTTGGAGGGTGGTCCCAGGACCCCCATGGATGCCTAAGTCCCTTGTCCAGAATGGCACAGGATTGCCCACGGCCTCTGCATGCCTCCTAGAGACCTCATACAAGGTAAAAAAGCTGTGCGAATAGAGGATAGATGGTATTGTTTAGGGAGCAATGACGAGAGGTCTGTACCTGCTACTACAGACGCACTGTGGTGTGTGTGTTTATTTTGGGGAACAGTTTTGATCTGTGGTTGCTTGAATCCGCACATGTGGAACCTGCAGATTGCGAGGGTTGTGTTTTCGCCGGAGTGGTTCCGAGAGAACACACAGAAGAGAGCTAGTATAAAAAGTTGGTCTGTAAAAGGCCAAAGCAGAGAGACAGACGCTCACTGCACGCTGGGTGTTTTGCTCGTGCTTATTGGCTGTGAGAAGTGGCCGTGTGCTGATGCTTCGTGAAGTAGCGAGGCAGTGTCCGTCACAGCTGGCAGCGCGTGCGTCTGGTGCTCCGATGTGTCTCCTGAAGTTAGGGGCTGGCCCAGCAGAGTGGCGACCGTGGCGCGCTGGGCTCAGGCAGGCAGGGCTGGGCTCCGGGCACCACCTCTTTGTGTGAGCTTGCTCCCTAAGTTGGTTGAGTAGAACAGCAGCCTAGCACCTTGTTCTGAGAGACCCTTGAGGCAGCCTTGGGACCACCGGGCACATGGTCGGGGTCTACGGGCTGTAGCCAAGTCAGACCTCAGCAGAACCTCCTCTTGGACTCCGGGAGGCATAGTCCTAAGTCCTTCCTCTCCCTCTCCAGGATCCGTTTGCCTCCCTGACCCCTCCCCACCCACATCATGGTTTGGACCCTCACGACAATTATCTGGGTGTCTGGGGAGATGCCTCTATTGGGACGTCTTTCTTGTATAAGTCCTGCTGCCCCTCTCCTAAAGCTCCTCCCCTCCCCAGACTCCCCAGCCGTCTTACCCTCCTAGCCCAGTTGCAAGGTCCAAGTCCTGGGCGGGCCTTCTGGACACTTACCCCAGTCTGGGGACTTGACTGCTCCTTCCTCGGGCTCTCCAAGGGCTGTGCCCAGTACGTGATACACTGTGTTCTGGATGCGTGTCTGCCACTCACCCGGGAGCGGAGTGCACAGCTCTCCTAGCTGTGAGTGGTTAATGTGGGAATTACTCTTACGCCGTGTGGTTGCAGACTGGTCACTTAGCATCCTCGCCTGTATTGTGGCTCTGAACCGTCTCAGTAAATCTCACCAGGGTCACCAGTATGCTAGATTAGGTGCCTGGCTTGGACTCGGTGCCCTAAAACAGTTGACAGTGACCGTGGCTTCTTGAGTGCCCTGCTCAAAAGACTGCTCTCCAGCTGCTCCTGGGGCAGTGGCCTTGGTCATGGCCATTGCCAGCCTTTAGGATTCAGCCCAAGGTGCCCAGACAGACACCCACCCTCCTGCACTGCAGACTCCGGCGTGTGCACACGCATCTTGGGGCCTTCTCAAACCAAGTGTGCACGAGGCAGGATTTGTTTCTCCCTCCAAACTGCTAGCCTTCCCCATGTTTCTGGGTCATGACTGCCATCCTCATCCTACGTGGACTTACAGTCTTTCCCTCACCCCTGCATCTAGTGGCCGGTCCCCACGGCTCTGGCACTGGTCGTGGTCATCTCCCATGACCCCTGCCCACACGAGCTCATGGGCACTTACAGGCCCTGCTGCTGCCTCCTTCATGTCAGGGTGTTCCCCTTGGAATGCCCTCTCCCGCCCTGTCCAGCATGCTGATTTTGTGTCCTGGGTGGGTAAGAACCTGCAACTTTAATTTTTAAAAATGTAGACTTTCGGGCCTGTCTACCAAAGATTCTGATTTGGTGCCTGGAGGGAGACCAATTCCCATTTTATTTGTTTGAAAGTTGACAGTGTTGAAAATAGGTAGCTACAAGGATTTGGTAAAGGGCCGGCTCTGTGGCAGAGTGGGTAAAGCCGCCACCTGCAGTGCCGGGATCCCATATGGGCCCCGGTTTGCACCCCGGCTGCTCCACCTCCAATCCAGCTCCCTGCTAACGGCTTGGGAAAGCAGGGGAATGGCCCAAGTGATTAGACCCCTGCTACCCATGTGGGAGACCCAGAAGAAGCTCCTGGCTCTTGGCTTCAGCCTGGCCCAGCCCTGGCTATTGTGGCTTTGGGGAGTGAACTAGCAGATGGAAGCTCTGTCTCTCCCCTCTCTCTGTAACTCTAACTTTCAAATCAATCAATCTTTTTTTTTTTTTTTTTAAGATTCTGAAAAATTCTGTGTGCTGGTGGTGCTAGAATGCTGTTGTGCTAGCCGAGCTCTGTTACGGAAGGAGAGGTAGTGGGCAGGGTCGTTCCCAGTAGATTGGTGGGATTTGGACCCCTACATGTTCCTCCATGCTGTTCTTTTTATTTTATGTTAAATATTTATTTTATTTATGTGAAGGAGTTAGAGAGGGGATATGGGGGGAGGGGGACAGAGAGATCTTAACATCTACTGGTCCACTCCCCAAATGGCCACAGAGGCTGGGGCCAGGGCAGGCTGGAGCCAGGAGCTTCTTCCAGGTCTCTCACGTGGGTGTGGGGGTCTGATTACTTGGGCCATCTTGCACTGCTTTCCCAGGCGTATTAGCAGGGAGCTGGATCAGAAGTAGAGCAGCTAGGGCTCAAACAAGCACCCATATGGGATGCCAGCCCTGCAGGCCAAGGCTCGACCTGCTTTGCCACAGTGCCGGCCCCTCTCCGTGGTGGTCTTAAGGCACTTCATGGGGTAACTAGACCTCAGTGTGCAGGGGGTGCTCCTGCTGTCTGTGTTTGCTCCCCTCAGGTTCTAGAGTCCTCCAGGTTAGCACAGGACTTGGCATGTTTATGTTTCCCGTGCTTGCCCACTGTGGATGCTCTAGGAATTTTTGTTAATTAAAAGATACTTGAAAAAAAGAAGAAATATTTGAAGATTTTTTACTGCAAGAAGCTGCACAGGTGTAGTGGTTAATATCAGGGTTTCTGACTTCCTGATGTGTTCAGAAAATTAGTGTATTTTTTCCAAACAGGCTTTTGCTCATACTGTTTCAGGGAACAGTGGACACTGAGGCCGTGCCCAGCAGTGTCGCTCTGTTTTCTCCTCATAATGCAAGAAAGAGAACATACTGGGCTGTCTTCTGTGGAGATGTCTTTTATTTGCAGATTTTAAAGACATATTTCCTTAGCGTTCTGTGGGAAGACGCTGCCTGGGAGAAACACGCGTTCTCGCAGCGTCTCAGCCTCCCAGGGCTGCTCTCCTGCCCTTCTGGAGCACTTCCTGCCAGCCGCTGAGGGTGGGGTCCTGACCTTCCCCCTCCCGGTGCCAGGAGCCCAGCACTGGCCTGTCGCTCTGGACTAGGCTCATCCCTGGGAAGGTCTGGGTTTTTGTCCTTGATTATTGTAAGTTAGAAGATCTTAACTTTTGTAAAACTGTTTTTATTGTTAATTTTGTAAAACTGCCAGGTTGGTGTTTTTGTCCTGAGAGTTTAAATGTAACACTGAATGAAAAACCCAAGAATGTGTCACTAATGCAGACTCCTGATTTTCCGTCACAGGTCAACTTCGTAGTGTGCCAACTCTTTGCCTTGCTGGCAGCCATCTGGTTTCGAACTTACCTGCACGCAAGCAGAACCAGCTCCTTTATAAGACATGGAATCGCTACCCTTTTGGGTCTTTATCTTGCACTGTTTTGCTTTGGATGGTAAGTCTCTTGATTGTATTTACATGATGACTGTTTGGATACATTTGAGACTTGAGTGTGTAGGAAGACATAGTCAGGATCAAATTTTTTTTTTTTTTTTTTTTTTTTTTTTTTTTTTTTTTTTTTTTTTTTTTTTTGACAGGCAGAGTAAGACAGTGAGAGAGAGAGACAGAGAGAAAGGTCTTCCTTTCCATTGGTTCACCCCACAAATGGCTGGTCTCCCATGCGGGTGCAGGGCCCAAGCACTTGGGCCATCCTCCACTGCCTTCCCAGGCCACAACAGAGAGCTGGACTGGAAGAGGAGCAACTTGGGACAGAATCCGGCGTCCTGACCAGGACTAGAACCCGGGGTGCCGGCGCCACAGGCGGAGGATTAGTCTAGTGAGCCGCAGCGCCAGCAGGATCAACTTTTAAAACTTTTTCTTATTTTTAAGATTTGTTTATTTATTTGAGTGACAAAGTGACAGAGAAGAAGAAAGAGAGACAAAGAGATCTTGTGTCTTCTGGTTCACTCCCCAGTGGCTGCAACAGACAAACCAGGCCTGCGCCTCCCACGTGGGTGCAGGGCCCAGCACTTGGGCCAGCGTTGCTGCTTCCCAGGCGTGCTAGCAGGGAGCTGCTTCGGAAGTGGAGCAGATAGGGACTTGGACTGGCTCCCTGATGTGGGACGCTGGCGTCACGTGAGCAGAGGCCTGACCCGCAGCTCTACAAAGCTGGCCCTCAATTTTGACTTTTACAGCAAAAAATAAAAGAATGGAGATGGACTCTTTTTAGTCTTAGAGGGAATCTTCCATTTATAATTTGTGAAAAAAGATGAAAGAGGATATAAAGGAATTTTACTCTGTCATGAATGGTTCTTCCCACCTAGCTTGCTGATCTTCTGTGCCAGGACAAGGCGTGTTTTTCTCTGTACAAGTGGCTTTCGGGGCTGGTGCCGCCCATGCTGGAACTCTGAAGTCTGCCATCAGTGAAAGGAAGCCTTTTGTTTGCTTGTTCCCTGTGGGGAAGAAAAGACTCCTGACCCTGGGGGCGGGCTGTGTGCTTCCCCAGTTAGTGCCCCCTCGGGCCATGGCTGCCCTGGGAGCTGGGAGCCTCTCCCCACTGCCGCGGGTGGCCGTGGGTGTGCTGGCGGAACAAGCCAGTGCACAGAGAGGCCTCTGTGGTTTGCTCCTGAGTTTCCTGGAATCACCTCGTGCTGCTCGCCAGCTGCTGGGGACCAAAGTCCCACCCTGGACAGTGCCTCAGGCCTCCAATTGGCAGGGAAGCTGTGGGACTCCGGCCCACCTCTCTGTGTCTCCTGGGGTGCCGTTGGCTTCTGGATTGGGACACGCCGGGGTTTCCTCAGTGAATGTCTGTCCTGGTGGGCGCTGTGTTTCCTAGAAGCTCATGAAGCCTCAGCCAGGGACAGTTCGTTCAGTCTGTGCCGTGCTGCCCGGTGCAGTGTGGGAGCAGGTCCAGGTACCATCTCTCCGTGAGACCTGACGGGGCCTTCTGGTTCCCTCCGCAGTGTCAGCTTTGTTATCAGAGTTTTCCTGGTTCCTCAGATGATGCTGTTTAATCTTCTTGGTCACGTTCCAGGGCGGGGTGTGTACTCTGTGTGTGTGTGTTTATCACGTACACAGAAGTAGAGAGTAGAATATAATGGACCCTCAGGCCTGTTGCCCAGCGTCAGCGGTATTCCAGCGTTCCTGTTTTGTTCTCTCCTGGACTGGCTTCTCTAGAGTATTTTAGGTCTGTTCCAGCCTGTGGCTCAGCCCCGGGTATTCAGTGTATGTCCATGAGGGGCTGGGGAGGCCTTTGTGGCTCAGCTTGGCCAGCTCCAGGAGGCACCTTTCTCCTTGCAGTCTGTGGGGGTGGAGATGAAGGTGATGAAGGTGCAAAGTGGAGGTGCTGCCAGGGGCGGAGACTTCTGCCCCGGGGGTCCCCCCCAACAGTGTCCTCCTGCTGAGAGGCCTCACTGGGTGCTGTGTGCCAGCCCCACAAGTGATCTGGCTGAGATTTACTCAAAATTGAATTCTTTGTTCTTTTCTTAAAGGGGAAACCCTTTGTTTTCCTTTCTTTGAGAAGAGAGATTGTTCCTGCGCTGGAGCAGTGTGAGCTCACTGTGCCAGCTGGGCTTAGCTACCGGGAGTAGATCCTCTTGGTCTGGATTTTCACGCTGTGTTTTGCGGGGAGGGGCTCAAAGGCAGTCCTGGCTGCCACGGTTTGGGACAGTCTCCTTGTGAATGACGTCTGTCATACTCTAAATACAGCTGATCATTTGACCTATTTCTGCTTGTTTTGGGTCTCAGCTATTTTATTTTTAAACTACCATCTATAGATTCCCTTGACTCAGTTCGTATTTTTATTTATTTAAATTTCTTTGATAACAGAATAAGACTTGGACCCTGGGTCAGACAGGCCTGGAGGCCCATGCGTGACTTGAAATGTGTCACTCAGCCCCCCTATGAGATGGGGCCTGTGAGTGTCTTAGGACAAAGAGCCGTGCAGTACACTGGCCACTTGCGGGGATAGGGAGAGATGCGCAGGGTCACCAGTCTGTCCAGGCTGAGCATTGTGTACCCAGAAGGCCTTGGAACCGGAAGTGTTTGAGATTTCAGGGTTTTTCAGATCTGGAAATATTTGTGGGGACTTATTTATTTACTTATTTATTTGAAAGGCATAGTTACACACACAGAGAGAGAGAGGGGTCCTCCATCTGCCAGTTCACTTCTGAAATAGCCACAACGGCTGGAGCTGCACTGATCTGAAGCCAGGAGCTTCTTCTGGGTGCAGGGGCCCAAGGACTTGGGCCACTTTCTACTGCTTTCCCAGGCCACAGTGGAGAGCTGGATTGGAAGAGCAGCAGCTGGGACTTGAACTAGCGCCCATGTGGGATGCTGGTACTGCAGGCAGCGGCTTTACCCACTGCGCCATGGTGCTGGCCCCAGCCTGCAAATATCTGAATGGAATTCCCTGAAATCCACCATCATTGGTGTTGTGGCATTCATGGATTAGGGGTGTTCGGCCCATTCTACAGCCTGCAGCCGGGGATCCAGTAGGTCTTTCCCAGGCTCTGCTTCCGTGTGTGCAGCACCAGTACTACCTGTTTAATCCAGTGTCTTCCTCTCTAGACCAGGATCTTCAGGAACAAGCTTTGGCTAGTCAACTGTGATATTCCCAGTGTGCACAACAGTGCCTTTCAGAAGGTCAGCAAAGATTAGTTGAACAATTGAAGAACTATTTTCAGTCTTTTTAAAAACTTAGATGCCCTCTCCTCTCCTCTCCTCTCTCCTCTCCTCTCCTCCCCTTCCCTCCCCTCCCCTCCCCTCCCCTCCCCTGTCCTCTCTCCTCTCCACCTTTCTGTCTTTCTTTCTGTCTTTCTTTCTGTCTTCCTTCCTTCTTTCCCTCCCTTCTTCCCTCCTTCCTTCCTTCCTTCGCTAAAAGTAAATTTTAACAATTTATTTCAGGGCAGGAGACTAACTCCCACCCATAGGGTGTTCACCCCACAGGTGTCTGCACTGACTGGAGTTGGTCCAGGCTGGAGCCAGGAGCCTGGAGCCCCCGCAGTCTGGACTTCCCGCATGGGTGCTGGGGTGGGGGTGGGGGGCTCCAGCGCCTGAGCCATCACCTGTTGCTTCCCAGAGTGCGCATCAACAGGAAGCTGGACTCGGGACCATAGTCGGGGTTCGAACCCAGCCACTCTCAAATGCCAGAGTCCCAAGTGGTGTCTTGACAGCTAGGACAGCTTCCCGCCTCTAAAAATATATTTTATGCATGCTTTTAGTGTTATTTGAATTCAAAATAAGTAAAATATATTTTCTAAAAACAAGTTTTGGGATAAAGTGCTTTTTATCTTCAAAGTGCTGAAGCAGCGTGAAAGATCACGCTGGTGGTGTGTGGGCTTCCCTGTCCTCTGCCCAGCCCTTGAAGAGTCAGCCAGGGGATTAGTTGTGCAGGACCGCTGCGTTCCAAGGTCAGTTAGGGCACTCACCACGCTTACGAGCTTGGTCCCTCAGCCCTGGGCGAGGAGAGGCAAGGAGAGGTGTGTTGGAAGGTAGCTTCTGTCTGGAGTCTGCTCTGGAGCCGCACGCAGCAGGGGGGCGCCTGCTGTGCCAGTAGTGCAGTCAGCAGTGGCGTGGGTCAGCGTGGGTCAGCGTCGGAGCGGCTGCCGTGTGCTCGGGAGCGTTAAATGTTAATCTGAGCTCTCCAGTGCAGGCAGGTGGAGGAACATTCCTGGGTGCAGTCGCGGTGCCACGCCCGCCGGGGAGGCCAGTGCAGCCGGGAATGAGTGTGTCTGTCACCGGGCTGTGTGCCGGCCCGGAGGTCGCCGAGCTGTGTTCTCAGTGGCCAGGGGAGCAGGTGCTTTAAGGCAACAGGAGGCACTGAGCGCTGTTTGAGAAAAAGAGCCCTGAGCCCCGCATCCCTCGTGTTCCAAGGAAATTGACTCACAGAAAAGAAACTGTCGCCGAGAGTCCCCACAGCATTTTCTCTTATTTAGATGAGTGCTGTCATGTGCTTTGCTCGCAGGAACACCTAGCTGTCCCGTCAGCTTTTGGCTTTTAGTCACAGGGGCCAGGCTGCACCTGCCAAGCGTGGATTCTGACTGTGGGCTTCAGTTTGCTGCTGTTTGTACTCACAGGCAGCCATTTCAGAAAGTTTGTGCAGGAAGGGAATCACAGTTTATCCTGGTGCAGGGAAGTTTTATTATTTTTTTCATAATTATTTTCCATGGACTTTTAAAAAACTTTAAAAAATTTTTTTAAAGATTTTATTATTTATTTGAGAGGTAGAGTTACAGACAGTGAGAGGGAGAGACAGAACTAGGTCTTCCTTCCGTTGGTTCACTCTCCAGATGGCTGCAATGGCCGGAATTGCAACGATCTGAAGCCAGGAGCCAGGTGCCTCTTCTCAGTCTCCCATGTGGGTATAGGGGCCCAGGCACTTGGGCCATCCTCCACTGCTTTCCCAGGCCATAGCAGAGAGCTGGACTGGAAGAGGAGCAACCAGGACAGAACCGGCGCCCATGTGGGATGCCGGCACTGCAGGCAGAGGATTAACCTACTGCACCACGGCACTGGCCCTTTCCATGAACTTTTTAAAAAAGGTTTACTTATTTGAATGGCAGAGTTACAGAGAGAAAGCGAGAGAGAGATTGTCCATCCACTGGTTCACTCCCCAAATGGCCACAATGGCCAGCGCTGGGCCAGGCTGAAGCCAGGAACTTGAGCTTCATCCTGGTCTCCCAACTGGGTGCAGGGGCCCAAGGACTTGGGCTATTTTCCACTGCTTTCCCAGGTGCATTAGCAGGGAGTGGGTCGGAAGTGGAGCAGCTGGAACTCAAACTGGAGTCCGTATGGGATGCCGGCGTCACAGGCGTTGGCTGTACCTGCTGTGCTGCAGTGCCAGCCCCTCCATGACCTTCTTGAAGTCCACTTGTGCAGGTTTTTCTGCTTCCCTTGGCCCTCGGATGATAGCAGCACTTCAGGCCGACCTTGTTTTCTAATTGTGTGTGTGGTGTGCAGGAGGGCAGAGGAGAGGGGGCACAGTTGGACGGAGACCGACCTACTCTGCACAAAGAGTAACATAGGCTGCTTTTATGGGCCTGCCTTGGTGCCTGCTCCTTATTTATGACCCTTATGTGGAAAAATACATTCAGACTTTTTAGTAATTTTCCCATATTGACGATATCTATCATTCTACCATGATTGAGTTAAACAGTAATTTCAGTCTTGGGTTAAGATCCTTACTAAGATTTTAAGCTGCGAGGCCAGTGCTGTGGCATAGAGGGAAAGCTGCTGCCTGCAGTGCCAGCATCCATATGGGTGCCAGTTCGAGTCTCAGCTGCTCCACTTCTGATCCACTCTCTGCTGTGGCCTGAGAAGGCAGTGGAGGAGGTCCCGAGTCCCAAGTCCTTGGGCCCCTGCCCCTGCATGGGAGGCCCAGAAGAAGCTCCTGGCTCCTGGCTCCTCACTTTGGACCAGCACAGTTGTGGCTGACTGGGGAGTGAACCAGCGGATGGAAGACCTCTTTCTCTCTCTCTCTGCCTCTCCTTCTCTCTCTGTATAACTCTGACTTTCAAATAAACAAATCTTAAAAAAAAAGAGAGAGAGATTTAAGTTGTGCATGATGATCTAAAGATTCTGTTCTAAGTTGTTCATGCTACGAAAGCAAAAGAAATTTGAAAGCGAGCGTGTGTCCGTGTACACTAAGCACCCCCTCAGGGGCAGTTTGGATCAATTGTAATCCTAGGAAGTCTACTACGGTTGTGCCTGCGTTTTGTGGAATGTGTGGGTAAATTGGTTTTCTTATCCAGTGGTATGAGGATAAGAGAATAGAATACTAGAAAATACTGCACCGTGCTAGCCAGAATGTTTGCGGATATGCCACAGCAGATTGGCGAATGACCAGGTTTTACTTGAGCCATAGTGTTTTGAGAATAAATACATGTGGATGTATCCAGACTTTTGTTTTGTAAGAAATATTGTTGACAAGATACAGGCAGAGCATGGAGCTGGTATTGGAGAAGTTAGTTGGGGAAGACAGCCGATGTTCTGTTAGGACTGTTCTGAAATCCCTGGTGGCTACTCCTCGTAAAGTCATTACAAAGAAAGCTGTAGTCCTTGAGCCACACACCCCTGCTGCTTTCACGTAGCTAGGAGACCTGGAATGCTGGGGCACTGAGTGTGACTTTGGGGGTTTTATTTTTCCTGCACTCCTGGGTCCCGTGGTGCAGGGCTCCCTCACCAGGGTGTTCTCAGAATTTTAGGCTTTGAAAGTTTCATTCTTTGGTATTATTTTTATTATTTTACTTAGGAATCTTCTGGGTTCTCCAGAAGTATTTTGTAGCCTCAGTTAGGTCGCCTCTGTGTTCGGGGTGTCCCTGTCTAACGGGCTCCTTCTTCTTTCAGGTATGCCTTACATTTCCTTGTGCAAAGTGGAGTCTCCTACTGCATCATGGTCATCATAGGAGTGGAGCGCATGCACAAGTGAGTTGTCACTCGTTCACGCGGAAACAACGCGCTTCCCCTTAGCAGCAGAGTCTCGCACACCCAGCGTCATTCTAGTTCTGGTCATTCTAAGAGAGTTGTCATAAATGTTTGCTGTACGCAGAGTTTCTTAGCCTCAGTTTTTCGATGTTCAGAATTGACTGTGGTCTAGGCTGTTCAGAGCATCCCTGGCCTCTGCCCGTTAGATGCTGGTGGCACCTCCTGAGCTGGAACAGCCATCAGCATTTCCGAATCTTTTCAGGTCCCCTGGGCAGGCGAACTTCCTCCAGTTAAGAACCACTGGCTGAGTCTGCAGGGGACAGCATGGGGATACGGAGTGACAGAGTTTTGGGGGGTTGGAAGATGAGTTTAGGAGGACAGAGTGATGGGCGAAAGGTGCAGTACCATTCCTGCCTGAACGACAGGAAGGTGGGAGCAGTGTGTGGGGAGCCCGGATGTGGGGGGCAGTGTGTGGGGAGCCCGGAAGGTGGGAGCAGTGTGTGGGGAGCCCGGATGTGGGGGGCAGTGTGTGGAGGAGCTCCGGAATTGGGGAGCAGTGGTGAGGGGGAGCCCCGCAAAGTGGGGGGCAGTGTGTGGGGAGCCCGGAAGTAGGGGGCAGTGTGTGGGGAGCCCGGATGTGGGGGGCAGTGTGTGGGGAGCCCGGAAGTGGGGGGCAGTGTGTGGGGAGCCCGGATGTGGGGGGCATGTTGTGGGTTGGAGCGTTTTGAGCAGGTGGCTAGGAAAGCCCCAAAGCGGGGCTTGAACAGTGGATATTTGCTGAGTAAATGAATGTCCACTCTGAGATGACCGTGAGGCGTTTAGTGGGGCCGCTGCACTGGGAGGGAAGCGTGTAATTGGAAGATTTCAAAACCATAAATCTGTCGTAATCAAGACCATGTCTGCTGGTACAGAAATCGAGGTGTCGGTCAGCTGAGTAAGAAACCGCCCGGTACAGCTGGCTGAAGTGCTGGGCGCTTCACCAGGGGACGGGCTGGCCTCTCCTCAGGGGCCAGGACAACGGGATATGCAAATGCAAGCAATGGACAAATCTTAACTCAACCTCAGGCCATGCACCAACGTTTACCCAGAGCAGAGGTGTACATGTGGGAGCAAAAGCTTTAGACTGTGGAAGGAAACGAGAGAAAGTAAGTTTGACAGCAGATTAGGCAAAGATACGACATTAAACAGACGACAACAGGAAACCGATAGCTTGGACTTCACAAAAACAAAACAGATGTCACTGTGCAGGCTAAGACCCCATTAAGAAGACGAGAAGACCAGCCACGGTGAGGGTGGAGTACGTGCACAGTGTCTAGGATGATGGGTTATGTTCAGAGGGCAGAGCGCTTTCCGCTCCTTGTCAAGAGAACAAACCCGTTGAAGAAAGGGGCAAGAGACTTACACTGGCAAAAGCAGTGTGAACGAATGTGAGTCATTAGGGAGATGCACGTGTGCACATGCACACGGAGACACAGCGAGACTCCACTCCTCGTCACACCCCCCGGAACCCCCCGGAGAGCGGCTGTGCCGGGCGGGGATGAGGGGCAGCAGGCGGGGCTGCACACACTGCTGGGGGAAGCAGGCGGGATGAGGGGCAGCAGGCGGGGCTGCACACACTGCTGGGGGAAGCAGGGGGGATGAGGGGCAGCAGGCGGGGCTGCACACACTGCCGGGGGAAGCAGGGAGGCTACTGAGGAGTAGGACGTGGCCAGCACGGAACCCAGTAGTTCCAGAGAAGGGAAACCGCTGTGCGCTGGATGGTTTCCTGTCATCAGCTGCTGAATGCCTTGTGGCACATCCATGCAGTGCCACTGAGCACGGGAAAAGAGCGGACCTGTGCCTGTCAGAAACTGCATGTGAGTGAAGGACCTGGTGTGAGACTGCAGTTCAAGGTAGTCCCATTGTAGTGCTGTCAAGGGCTGAGGGTGAGGAATGACTGACAAATAGGAATTAGAGAGCTTAAAAAACTGGGGGAAAAAAGTCTTGTTTAGCTGTAGTCCTGGAGGTCAGTGTCATGGTGGTGGCATCAGCTGGGCTCTGGTGAGGGCTTCATGGCAGAGACCAATCACCAGCCAGGGAGCCAGAGTGTGGGCCCACAGTCCCTTCTGAGCACAGCTCCAGGCGGGGGGACCCACGGGCCTTCCGGAAGAACGCTCTCCTAGCTCCACGCCACCTGCCAGCACTGCCACTCTGGGGACCGTGCTTCTCACACGTGACCGGGGGAACCGCCACGTCCCAGCCGTGACCTCTGCCCCTGGCCCGCCAGCCCGTGTCCATCTCAGAAGGCAAGGTGCATTCAGTGCACTCGAGATCGTCCCAGGGTCGTAACTCGTGGCGGCGTCACTCAGAAGTCCAGGTGCAGTCTCAGCGGAGACTTCAGATGGACTCTTAGAGCTGCGAACCTGTGAAAAATCAGAGTCCAGTTCCATACTTCCAGGATGCAGTGGTGGGACAGGCACAGGGTACAGATTCCTGTTCCAAAAGGGGGCAGAAGGCAAGGAGAAAGGAGGAAATTGGCCAGGTCAGAAACCCAGCAGGACAGACGCCAGTCTACGGCTGAGTCCAGCGTCTGTTCGCCCTGTGAGCAGGAGCCCTGCCCCCCGGCCCTGCACTGCAGGCGGGGTTGGCACGAGCCCCGCCCCTCAGCCCTGCACTGCAGGCGGGGTTGGCACGAGCCCCGCCCGTCAGCCCTGCACTGCAGGCGGGGTTGGCACGAGCCCCGCCCCTCAGCCCTGCACTGCAGGCGGGGTTGGCACGAGCCCCGCCCCTCAGCCCTGCACTGCAGGCGGGGTTGGCACGAGCCCCGCCCCTCAGCCCTGCACTGCAGGCGGGGTTGGCACGAAGCCCACAGCTTTCCCTGGCAGGTGTCGCACATTCCTGGTAGCTGAGCCTTTTCAGCCCCAACCCCGTGGCTCCACCCATCATCACCCCATTAGGTCCCGGAATAAGGGAACTTTCTGGAGTGATGGAAAATGTCTGAAATTGTTCTGTGGTGTAAATACAGTGAAGCTCATTGAATTGTACATTTAGATTAGGTGAGTGTGGCTGGTGTTTGGCCTAATGGTTAAGGCACAGTTGGGATGTCCGCATCTCAGGTCAGTGCCTGGATTTTAGTCTGACATCTGCTTCCTGCCAAAGTGCATGTACCCTGGGAGGCAACAGGTGATGGCTCCAGTGGCTGAGTCCCTGCCACGCACATGAGAGACCTGGGTTGGGTTCCTGGCTTTGGTCCTAGAAGGGTTTTGGGCATTTGGGAGGAGAACCAGAGGGTAGGAGCTCTTATCTGCCTCTGTTTCACTTTCTCTCTGTGTTTATACTTCTCAAATATTTTAAAAAATAGGTATGTTTCATGTTTTGTACATTTTACCTCCATGAAGTTGTCAGGAGGGAGAAACAGGAAGTGTAGGAGGGCAGGTGCATATTCAGCTAAAATTGAGGCACAGTTCTGCAAGTTGGCTCACAGGTTTTCCGTTTTCTCATTTAAGCAAATTCGTAGGTGTTCACATGCACCTCATCTTTCTGTGTTTATTAGCAGAACGAAATGTCGAAAGGAGTGCTGACCCTCAAGGCCAGTGCCCACGGAGGAGCAGACGTTGAAGGGAAGGTGTGACAGCTGTCTCCAGGCTGTGGGGAGCATTGGGGTGCTGGGGTGGAGTGGGTGGCGTAGGTGAGGGCGGATTTGCGGCCTGAGGAAGGGCGAGCTCAGTACTCGGCAGTGTTTGCCAGTGTGACTTAGGTAACCGTGTGTCTGTCCCTGGAGATGTCTCAGTAGTGCTTAGGGACTGTTTCCGTTTGAATGCTGGAGGCTGCCGTCCAGGTTCTCTGATGGCAGCTGCTGACCAGCCGCGGCTGGAGCTGCTGGGACCACAGAACGTGGACATTGACAAGTACCTGTTTTTTGTGTTTTGAAAATCCATCAAGAGCCCTAAATAAAACTGAGAAGTTCTTCGATTTCAGCGCCTCTGTCTTGTATTCCTCAGTGGCCATCTAGTCTTTCTTACGGACACCCAAATTCCTTCTTGGTTTTTATCCATCAGAACATGTAGACAGGGAGCAAGGAGCTGCCGAATGCCTCAGTTTGCAAGCAGGCCAGTGGGGCAGCCACGGAGCTAAAAACCGGTAGATTTGAACCCACATGCTGGGTTTTTGCTTGTTTGTTTTAAGATTTATGTTTTGGCTGGCGCCGCGGCTCACTAGGCTAATCCTCCGCCTAGCGGCGCCGGCACACCGGGTTCTAGTCCCGGTCGGGGCGCCGGATTCTGTCCCGGTTGCCCCTCTTCCAGGCCAGCTCTCTGCTGTGGCCCGGGAGTGCAGTGGAGGATGGCCCAAGTGCTTGGGCCCTGCACCCCATGGGAGACCAGGAAAAGCACCTGGCTCCTGGCTCCTGCCATCGGATCAGCGCGTTGCGCCGGCCGCGGCAGCCATTGGAGGGTGAACCAACGGCAAAAGGAAGACCTTTCTCTCTGTTTCTCTCTCTCACTGTCCACTCTGCCTGTCAAAAAAAAAAAAAAAAAAAAAAGATTTATGTTTTAATTACTTGAAAAGCAGAGTTACAAAGAGAGAAGGAGAGACAAAGAGAGAGAGAGATCTTCTCATCTGCTGGTTCACTCCCCAGATGGCTGCAGCAGCTGGAGCTGAAGCCAGAAGCCAGGAACCTGGAGCCTCTTCCAGGTCTCCCACGTGGATGCAGGGGCCCAAGCACTTGTGCCATCCGCTGCTGCTTTCCCAGGTGTGTTAGCAGGGAGCTGGATGGGAAGTGGAGCAGCCAGATCTTGAACCAGCACCCATATGGGATGCTGGCATCACAGGCGGCTTAACTTGCTGCTCCACGGGGCTGGCCCCTGAGTGTGCTGTTTTAAGTCATTTAATTTTGTTTGAAATTAACAGTGTCACACACTGTCAGAAGAGTTTAAGCTGTATCTCACTTCATGAAATGAAAAGCTGTTGCTGTTAAAGGTGTTGCAGATCTCAGCAGAGGTGGGATAAAGCGGTCTAAGTCA